GTCACAGAAGCTAATGAAGGGAAAGATAGGGCTATTAAAAGGCAAGCATCCAAAACTGCCTCAGGCCACACACATAACTAACAGAGGGGTCAAGGAACATGCCTTGGCTCCTATCACATCCCTGAGTATGCTCTGGGTAGCTTTCTAGACAGGCTCAATAAATCTTTCCAAACTGCTTTAGGAAATACAAAATTGAGAGTAAATCCTGTGCAATGTGGCAAAACGAGCAACTAGTCATATATTCCACCATAAGTGGAAATAGTGCTCTTGATTACATAGAAATATAGAAACAGAGCAAGTCAGAAGGGGCCTCCCGGGCCATCTAGTCTGACCTCCGGCACCAGCCGGCTCCGCTCCCGATATGCCCACCATGTGCACATCCAGCCTATCCTTGAACACCCGCACCGGTGGGGCCTCAACGACCTCCTGTGGAAGCCCATTCCACACCCTTGGGGTCCTGACTGTCAGGAAGTGCTTCCTGGCTTCCAGAAAGGCTAAATTCTAGAAAAGTTTTACTAGCACTGAGCTGAATGTTCATGAGTTTGGATTTTCATGTCAAAATGTATCTGTTTGATGAGGGACATAATTTCCTTGATCGGGTTAGTCAATTGCAAGAAAACTGACAGCATTTCCCTATTTTCTGGCCACGTCAGGGCCACAAATAATAGCCCAAACAAAGCTGTGCAAAAGCCCCAGGGGCAGATTAGGAGGCCGCAGTCCCTGAGCTAGCCCAGAGAGCATTCCTTAGGGGAGCTCTCAGGCCTTGGCACTGAGGGGTTCCCACAGTGCCCAAGCTTGCCAGAGAAGATAGAGGTCAGGCACCAGTCCTTTACATCGTGTGAGGTATGGGTGGAGAGCCTGTGATCCATGGGCCAAATGTGGCCTGCCAGGCCAATTCCCTTGTCGGTGGAGCCTCAGGAGAGACCTGCCCCCCCACTCCCCCTGCCTCCCAGCAGCCCTGCGCCCTCAGAAAGGAGAGCAGTGGCGAAGTGACTGAAGGGCAGCCATTGCCAATCTGGTTTGTTCCAATGCCATTCTCATCTCAAAGAAGTATCAAATCTACTCTTAGAAAGTATATTTAGGGAGAAGATAATTTTTAAAACATGCATTTAAATGCAAATTACATAGAGATTTTTGAAAACTGTAATTTAAGGCAGAAATCGGACAGAATGGATTTCGGAGTGTTTAACTGTTTAAAGACAGGAGGAAAGACTGAAAGGCAACTCAAAGTTCACCATGTCTGGGCTTCATTATGGTATGTATTTCCCCAATAACTGTAAGTCAATTTGCACATCAGCCTGGAGGAATATAGATGGATTTGCTAGAAAACAGAACCTCAGGCCAGTTCTCTCTCACCCCTACGTATAACCAGGGTCCAGGAACAGATAGCTTAATGATTTTCTTGCTGTTCTTTTTCTTGTTAACAATCTAGCTTCCTCTCTGCCCCTTTCTGCTTTCAGTCTTATCCCCCCAATAACAACCCTGTGGGACAGGTGGGGCTGAGAGTCTGTGACTGCCCCAAAGCCACCCAGTTGGCTCCATGGCTGAGCAGGAACTGGAACCCAGATTCCTTGACCCCCAGCCCCACACTCTTAACTACTATACCACGCTGGCTCTCAATATTCCACTCAAGGAGTGAATATGGGTTGAGTTCATGTTGTCCAGTTTCCAACTTTTATTTACATCCAGAGCCTAGCTTTATAACAATTTTTATGCAGGTGTTCTCTGAGACTGAAAATTATTTCAAGGGTTCCTCCAAGACAAAAAGGGTCATAAAGGCTGCTCTAACCACTAGGACATGCTGCCATAAGGATGTGCCCATTGCTACTTGCATGATCACAATGACACTGTTGCGAGTAAAAGTTCTTTGACCCAAGGAAGAGCTCTACATGCAACTACTTATTTCTAAACTCTACTGCAAACCAGGGGTTTTCAATTCCATAAAAGCAAAAATGTACACATAACCACTGGTGAGCAACTTGTCTCAGCAGGTTAAGAATGTGAATCACTAAAGGAGCCACTATTTCTGGTACTCATCTTGCAAGTTTCAAGGAAAGCAGATGCTGCTAATAACTTTCATTTTTGAAGAGCCAAACAGATAAGCTTAATGCTGTAATGCAAGGCCAGAGCAATATTAACCTTAGACCATGGTGATATGGAGATAAATAGATTAATTAAACTTTACTTCTTCACCTCAATAATAAGACACCTTTTTTTCCAGGGATTCTTTCTCCTGTTCCTTCATGGCTACTGGCAATTAAGCTTACACATTTGCTCTTTTCTTTTTCTGTTTTTTAAAGTACAATTGGCCTTTTCAAATACATCACTACTAAACTATTAGTCCTTCCTCCCCAGTTTCCGCACTCCCATTCAATTCCAAAAGGAGTTATCTTAAAACGTCCGGATTTGGGACACTCCTGTACATGCCTATAGAGATATAAGACCCATTAAATTCTGATGAGCTTACTCCAAGCTAAGTAGATGCAGGATTGGAGCCTCACTGTTGAGAAGGAAGAGGGCAGATCCACTCTCCTTTCCAAGGTTAGAGCATGGTCTGACCTTGGAAGGATTTTTCTGAGCATTCCTATGGCCCCAGGATGCTCTCTCAGGGGCCATCAGACTGTTTTCTCCAGCTGCAGTCTGCACCAATGTAGATAGCAGTAAGTGCCACTGAATTCAGTAGGATATTCCCTTGAGTAGAAATGTCTAGGAGCACAGGGTAAGAGTCCAGTTCTTGAAATTAATGCACTAGCTGTGTAGTTGAGACCCAGCTGCTGCTGCTCGATCAAAAGTCATCTCCTCCTACTGATCCATCAGCTTCACAGCCACATATGTCTGTGCAAGAATACATCTGCCCAGGCATGTTTCTATGCAATAGCTACTGCTGGTGATGGGTGAACTTACCCTGAATGAACGTGCCATTTCCTTGGAAAATAATGAATTCAGCCCCGTAAGCTCTGACAGGCATTTCCCCTCAAAGTGAACTCTCCTTCCATGTAAATAAGCTTTACACATGTGCAATAGCACTGCACATCTTGACAATGGCAGGGTGGACTCCGCAGGGCCAGTGCTGCAGTTGCAGCAATGACAACAAGGGAAGCTGCTGAGAGGACTGCGGCATGAGTACAACTTTAGGAGGGGCGGCTGAGTCGTCCTCCTTCTCCTCATGGAGCCAGTATGGCAGTGGTGGTGTGGAGGAAAGCAGCACTGGATTAGGCAAGGAAGGCTTAATTCAAGCAAACGTAACACATGCAAAGAAATGGCACTGCTTAGATACAGACTGCACATGTGCAGAGTTCACAATCAGTTTAGAACTTAATAGCAATTCATGACCCACTGCTTCAGGTTTCATTAAGAGAAGAGCATGAATGAGTGATGTTTGTCCAGCAAGATGATTAATTACAAAGTTTGGTAGAATCACTGGCCACATCCAGTGGTTTGAAATGACGTCACACGTTTCCAATGACATGTGTAGGCTCCCTTACTTTTGCCATTATTGACAATAGGGGGCGCTCAGCTCACACATATCTAGATTCCAGCCACAGGCCTCTGTTTTTCTTTCAACCAACAACAACTGTCATAATGGACTGATACTTACACATGATAAGCTTGTCCTGGAAAAAGTGACTTTTCATCTCAGGATTATATTTTATCTATTAATTATTTACAGACTGCTTGCATCTTTAAAGGTAAAGAACATGATGATAGTGGGTGGCTCTCAAATAAATTCAATAAATAACAGCAGCAGCAGCAACTAGGCTGTTTACAATGAAACCAAAGAAAAACATAAAGCAAAGGCCAGAATTCAATAGTCTGCTACTAATAATCAGTGTCTGGATGGGTCCCCATAATTAGATAAACTGTTATTAACTGACAGAACCAAACTGACTGAATCACATATGTCCATCATATCACTGAGCAAAGGGTATTCAACACTGTGGAGAAGGCTCTCCTTTGAGTCATCATAGAATCTATCTCCATTAAATGTGGAACAACTAGGAGGACATTGACAATAACCTCAGTGAGTGAAGAATGTCTACACGGTAAGAGATCCCCTCCGACAACCTGGCTGCAAGCTATTCACTGAGTCTGTTTGCTTGTTTGTTTTTGCATCAGCAACCCAATTCTGCATTCAGCCCAGTAGCAAACAAGCAGCCAGTACAGTTGTTTCAACACTGGAGTGGCATGTGCGTGTTACAATGCTCCATCAGAAACCCAGTGCAGAACAAACAGGAACAGATCACAGAATACGGTGAAGCCCGTGCTTTTCACCCCTTGTCAGGGAAGGTAAGAAAAATGGTCAATGTCAACATTGCTTCTATTAAAATGTTAATGAGAGCAGAAGATGTCGGAAGTCTTCTTTAGTACATGAAACACAAAGAGCAAATGCTACTGCCAAGCTTAGTTTTTCTAAGTTTCCTGGAGAAGTGTTGACTCTATGAAATTATGGAAGGGACTAATGGGTGCTTCGGCTTTATCTTGGTCATTTGAGAAAACAGGTGCGGACCCATCCCAACACATCAATGACTCTGGCTCCGGCTCCGGAATCTCCAGAGAGAGTTACTTACCTTGTTTGCTTTCCGGTATCAAAGCTTCAATCTTCCAAAACTCAATTAGCTCTTTACGTAGTAATTTGGCTTGCGGTCTTCTTTTAATTACATTTTATTAGACTATTTCAGAAAGTATTTTCTTATCATTTTGTCAACTTTGTTGTAGAAGAATAAGCATGTCAACATGGAAAACTGCACACAACATGATGCCTGAATCAGAGGAAACTAATCAATTAAAATTTTATGAAATAATTCCTTTCACAGTAATGTACTGCATTGTGACATAATCCACACATGAACAGAATGGTACATTCTTCTTGCTCAGAAATACTGACCATATATTAAGATGTCTAGGGGGTGGGATTTCTCAAATGGTATGATATCTCTAGCAAAAAGCACTGGCTGAGTCTGGTCACCTCGCAATGAGAAATAGCACTTGTAAGATCTTACCTTGGCTATCTGGACACACCAATTAAGCAGGAGTTGGGAGCCAATGTTATCCTTATGTTCATGAACATAGTCCAGTAAGCAGCCATGGGGCATCAGCTGAGTAACAAGCTGGATGGTTGGGCTTAAGCAGACTCCTAGTAGCCGCACCAGGTGGGGATGATCCATGCTTGCCATTATAAGAGCTTCCTGAAATTAAAGAAGTCATATGCTTTTTTAAAAATAATTTTAAATCACACTCTGGTACCCAGTTTGTGAGATCCACTGCATTTAAAGCTGAATAAATTTGGAACAGCTCACTTGCTCTCATATGATTGTACCCATTGGCTCTGAGTCACCCCTTCAGTAAAGCAGATTATGACTCAAGGCAGGGCCTTTTTGGTGGTGGTGACTGGATTGTGGAATGTTCTCTCCAGAATCATTGGTCTGGTATCCAAATTAGGCACTTTTTCTCCTGACTGTTATTCCTGTTTATGTTGTTGCTCGTGTTGCTAATTGTTGCTAATGCTTTTGTTGTGTGATTTTTTAATTTCTTCTTCTTTTAATGTTAATGTTTCATGATGACTGTTTTTGCTAACTGCCTTGAAAATGTCTGCTGAAAGGCAGATAAAAATCTGTTAAATAGCCATGGCACTCTTTCTCCAGGTTAAGAACTGTGTGGTGCCCTTAGTAGGTTTGTTTTTTAAAAAAAAATGGGTATAGTGTCACCACCACTAGCATCCAAGTGAGAAAGGGGGAAATGTGATACTCTGAGTGGGCCTCTTCAGCAGAGCATCCCCTGTAGAAGCATGGCCACACATCTGACTTTCTCTTAAACAACCACCAATGAAAGCCCATGCTTCCTAGTTGGAAAAGAAGGAGCCATGCACAGTACTAATCGACAGGCCCATGAATCCACTTCTCCCACCCTCTCTAGAGCTACTTTCAATGTTAGAATAGTGACTCTGGGTTCTGCTTCTTGAAGTTGTTGCTTTTAATAAGTGAAGAATGAATGCTCAGTTGAGTGAACTAATTTAAAAGATCAAATTGGTCACCTGAGGCTCCAGTGTAATGGAAACTTACATGAGAGTAAAGCCAATTGAAGTCAGTAAGACCAAGGAAACATTATAGGATTGTGCTGTTAATCAGGAGGATGGGGTATGGCAGACCACTGAAGTTTTCAGGGCTGCCCCTGCCATGTATCATCATGGGCAGAAGAAAGATGACGACAGGAACTGGTGTCTGAGTGGTGCAGCAAGACTTTTGGAGGGGGGTGGAGAACTGGTACACTGGTTCAGTAGGTACATTGTTTTGGTCAGTACCATTTAACAACAGAAAAGGAACTGGGAAATGAAAGAAGGCAAAAAGACATCCTTTTTTTCTGCTTAAAGCTGTTTTTTCAGTATCCCCCTCTCCACCCCAAAAAACCAAGTGCACACAGTTGTAGTCAAGCTGAAGAACAACCACAGTGATACAACCACAAGTGGTGGCAAAAAATGAAAATATCTTGCCACTGGAAGAATGAACCCCACCTACTAGAGGATGGAAGGGGAAAGAGAAAAATTATACATCGGGTGGGGTGGAGGCTGGATTTGCATTAAAGAAAATTGCTCATCAGAGCACAAAGAGCATTTGAAATGAAATTGCAGAGTATTTGCTTAACAGTTCCTTTAAAAGAGGGAGAGGGAGAGGGGGAGAGAGAGAGAGAGAGAGAGAGGAGATGAACAAGACACTAATTATAGGGAGGGATGTAATGAAAATAACTTATAGCAGATGTTTAACTTAATCTTTACTTTTTATCATTTTGAGATTATGTGGTTTCTATTTTTTAAGGGCTAGTCAGGACATACAGCTTTGTAGGGGCAAAATAAGGATCCTGCTTATCTAATGGCAGCAGTGGGACTGGAGGGACAAGGAGGAAGCAATTCCACCTAAACCATTTGTCCCATGCTAGAATCAATTCACTAGTCAGTTGCCACCCCCGCACGGAGTCTGCAAGGGGAAACATCAGCCTCCTTTTGACTGCCACTAGAAAACAGAACCAAAGGCCACCAGGATAAATACATGTTGATAGGTGTACTGTCCATTTTCTGGAAACAAAATAAGTCTCTGCTTTATGCCCCCTCCTTCTCCCTACTTTTTTTTTTTTTTTGTAAAGTTCTTTCCCCACCCCTCATTTCTGTAATATAGAAATTTTGATTTTAAACTCGATTTTTTCCTTTATGTAGCCTAGTTTGATGATGAGCTCAATGTTCAGCCCAAAAGGACAGAAAGGGAGGTATGGAGAGGTGGGAGAAATAGAACTATTTTGATGGATATAGTAAGTCTTCTGCCATTTATTATGCTGCTTGAAAGTTAAAGGATGTTAACCAGGAAAGTTATTTTAAAAGTTTTACACATCACTGTACCCTAAATAATGTAACAGGTGAGGTATAATAAAACAAAACAAAACAAATTGCAGAGAATTTAAAAAACTCTGCTGGTTTAAGGCTACAGTGGAGGCTAGAGCCAGGCTTTTCCTTGGTCTTTCTGGATCAGATGAAAATAGTGAGGATGGAATGCCTGGGACCACCCAGGATAGCCAACATTTTCCTGGCCCTGTATTGCTTTAAGAAACAACTGAACCTTCCTGAACTGCTAGAGTGATACTCAGGCTAGTTGATCCACACCTGTTCATTGCTCGAAACAAGCAGAATTTGTGATGTTGTGCATCATCATTCCTGATCATGGGGCATGTCTGTGAAGGCATCAGCCTAAGCTTACAATTCCTGGCTCTGAGAAGCTTGAGCCAACATAAGATAGCTTTAGCTCTGGACTTAAACCAGCAAAGAGAGGGATTGTTACTGAATTTCCTTCTTTATTATAATTTATTAAAGCGGGGTTCTGTGGAATGCCCCCAACACACAAACATTAATAAACAGAATACAAAATAGTCATATCCCTATGTGTTCAGAATAGCTTACCTCTGAATAAACCTGCCCCTTTCTCCCCTGCCCTTTTCCCTCCCTCTCTGCATTATTGAGCATCTATCTGTCTTCAAAATTAGCTCACTCTCCTCTCAGCTGAAGGTACCCTGCAGACCCCCCCCCCCCTGCTGTCAGGACATTGGCAGAACAGTGGAACTGGGAACTCTGGAGTTACTGGCAGCCTTCCAACTTAAGAGCAACACTGAGCATGCTTGGGATAACTTTGCCAGTAGTTGCTACCACAGGATTTTGGGAGGCATTAAAACTGGATAATGCACACTGTGGTTCAGCAAATGTTCAGATCAATGAAAGGAACACCTCAATAAGAAAGCACATCAACAGTTTCCCCCAGAATTTGAAAGAAATATATGATACATATGTTGTGTTGCACCTTGAGTAAAAAGTATCAATGTGTTAAATTTCAGCACTTTTTAACAGAAGGTATCATCCAAGTGCCAAATAGTTGTGTGGCTTATATGCCATGTCTGAATTTGGTCTGTTGGACGCTTGGGTAATTTTTCACCCTGGTGAGCATGATTATGCATTTATTATACCAGTCCATCTGCATTGCTTTCAATTAGATTATTTCCTGATCTCCACATCATTGATAAGTCAAATTAAGCTTGTAACATTAAAATGCTGGTAATGTCATACCATGCCTCACTGTACTTGGAGTTGCAATTTTCAGATTTACCTCAGTGTCCAGTTCTTTGGCATATTAATGTTTCATTTTTTAAGCACAAGGAGTTTGAAAATCAGATCATTGCTGAGCTTCACATGTGAAATACTCGTAAATGAGAGTAGCATTAATTCTTGTGCTACTGGGTGAGAGGCTACCAAAACTTTTATCTTGGGTGGATCACTTCTTATGCCTCATGTAAGAAGAAATTTAAAATTTGAAACAAATATCAATAATTGGGGAGCTGAAACTCTGATTAGAGCTTCTCCATCCACCCAGCTCTATTAATCAATACAAACATGTTAAATAAACATTGAATAATATTCTTTCACAACAGGTGGAACTCACTTAATGTATTTATGACTAGCTTATTGGGAGAACAATCCTATGAAAATTTTGGCACATCATCTTAAACTGCAGGACTACTGAAATGTAATTGCCATGATCAAAGCTGAGAACAATAAGATGCATGTCTCTTCGGAAGAATAAATTTTTATGGCTTTATTGGGAACTATACAGTGGAAGGAGTAAAATATCACAGCAGGATATTATGGATGCATCTCCCCACCCCTGATTAATACTTTCCTCACCAAAGCGGCTTTTGTCCAGCTTCTCTATGAGCTGAAGAAATTACAAAGGCAATTATGTATATGAGTACAGGGAAATCACATTATATGGACAGGTTGCCAACTGAGTGGTGTAAAATCTTTTCTAGCTTCTTAGTTCAAAAATTATTTGGTTTGCATTCCTATATTTTTGAATTGTGCTCACTCCCTGCATTGTTAAATAATATCTATATTACACTGATTCCCAAACCCAGCAAGGAATCCATGCTGATTAATTTATGTGCATATTAAAATATTGACTGCAATTTTGACTGATAGATTGCAGCATGTTCCTACAATATTGGTTCTGGCAGGTCAAGTGGGATACATTAAAAACTGACAGGGAGCTGGTAACTTCAGATTACTTGTTGACTTGATTGTATTAAATTCTAATAGAACAGATCAGGCAGCCACTATATCTTTGGATGCTGAAAAGGCCTTTGGCAAAATTCATTGTTGCAACACTGGTGAAGTTAAATTTTCCTGTTGCGTTTTTGAAATGGATTCAGACATTGCATTCAGTACTGTGAGCTTGAGAGTTCTCAACTTTTTTCCTCTTAGGAGAAGAACTAGACATTGGTGCCCACTTTCTCCATTAATGTTGGACTTGAATTTGGAACCCCAGCAAGTGCTATTTGATGGAATGTTAGTATTCACAGCTTTGTTCATAAGTCTTTAGAATTCAAAATAATCAATTATGCAAATGACCTGTTATTGTTTCTTCTACAGCTGTTCATTCCTGCTTTGATAGAATTGATCAATACCTTTGATAAACTGGCTATTCTATTAACTGGTGAAAGTCAAAATTGATCTCAATTGGAGTTATTGCTTCTCACAGTGTATTAGCAATTTTGATGGTGCCAATTTACTTGGGAATACTCATTTCTAGGGAGATATAGAGCATGGTTAAGCTAACTCTGAGTAAGGTGATTAATGACATATCACAGGACACAGACAGAT